AAACCAATGTATCGCCGAAAAAGGTAATAAGCCGCCCACCACTTTTTGCACGGTGTACAAAAAAGTTAAAAGTAAAAGGCGTAGATTAAATTGAGCAAAAAATAAAGTTATTTAAAGCAAATCCGTACCGGTTAAATTAACAACCGGTTTGTAATTTGGATTTACTTTTTTTTCGTTATTCGTAATTTTCGGTAACGAAACTTCGTACTTTTCCGCAATATATTTGCCTGGAAAAAAGACGGTTAAAGCAAAATTAAAGCCGTATTTTACTTTCCAATAATTTTGCATAACTTTTTAAACCGTACCTTCGTTTTTAGCAATTATTTGCTAAAGCGTATAAAAAAAAATATTTCGGTAAATTGCCAATCGGGAAAAAAAAAACGTTATTTTTTTGCTTGCTAAATTGTTTGCGGGCAAAAAGCAAAACCTTTTTGCGAAAAGCATGGAATTGTTAAAAGCACGGGCGAAACCGCCCGGCAAAAAAGGAAGAAGGGGGCGCTGGCAGCCAGCCGGGCACGGACCCCCCGGGGATATGCCGGCGAGCTACCGGTATCGCGGCCAAAGCATAACGGCAAAGTTAAAAAATAGGGTAAAGCTTAAATTGCACGAAAGCGCATGGAACGCGAAGGATTTATAAAACCAACCCCGCGTGCTCGAAAGGGCACGAAAAAAAGGGGGGTTAAAAAGGAATAATTTTTATTGGCGATAGCACTTTTGGTAAAAAATTTACGGAAGTTTAATAAAAAAAATACCGTATCCGGCCCGTAACCCGGTAATTACCCGCTTTTGCATTAATTAACCTTTAATATATTGTTTTTTTTTTATACCTTTTTTATTTAAAGAGCAAGCCCGGGTAATTACCGAAAAGGATCGAACAAATTTAAAAAGGGCATTTGCAATTTTGTACCGTTTATAATAATGCCCGACGTTACGTTAAGCACGTTGGAAAAGGCCGTTAAATTACCGGAATAAAATATTAAAAAAACCCCGCAAATTTTTAACGATTTCGAAAACCTTTTCGTAAAAAAATTGTAAAAAATAAACGACGCGCTAAAAGTTTAAAGCAAACGCGTTCGCTTAATTTAAAAAATCCAAAACAAAAGGTTAAAGCATGCGCATAAAGGTTTAAACGAAAATAAAAAAAATATTTTTAAGCAACGAAAAGGTTTTACGTAAAGCAAAGTTACTTTTAAGCTTTTTATGTTTAAAAAATTAGCAATTTAGCAAAACATTGCCCATTATATTAGCAATTACAAATTTATTTTCGAAAGCAAAAAGGAACGTTACGGTAAGGACCGTATAAAAGTTTAAATAGCTTCCAGCACTTTCGATTATTATTAACGGGTATAATAAACAAAATATAAGCAAATGTATTATTTAAATACCGGGGTATCGTTTATTTAGGCCGATTTTTTGCGGTAACTTTAAATAAAATCGAAAAACCCCGATTTGCAAATATAGCTAGCAATTAAAAAGCTTGCGGGGGATACCGTTATTAAACAAAAAAATTATAAATCGTTTAAAACGTTTCGGATTTGTTAGGATTTGGTAAAAAACGACCTTTCCGAATTAGCACCCAAATAAATAAAAATAACATTGCTTTTTAACCAATTCCGCCCCGAAATCCAAAAACGGGTAACATTTAAAAGCTTTTTTTACATTATAAAAAAATTGTAAATTAAAGCTTTTAAAGCAAAAATAATATTGGGATTGTACAAAGGAATGCCGGGGGATACAAGTGTTTTAGCCTTTAAAAAGCTGGTTATTTGTTTTAAATGCGGGCAATTGGGCCATATTATTGCAGCATGCAAAATACGGACAAACAATTTGGAAACCCCGTTAGCCCCAGCAACCATATAAAAGGCGAAAGGGAAAAAACCCGAAGTACGGTATTACGGGTATAGGGAATTGGGTTATATTCGGCCGGCGTGCTTTAAAAAAAGCAAAATATTGTTACCCAATTGTTAGGAGCACGGGCGAAACCGCCCGGCAAAAAGCGGGGAGCGTTAAATGCACGGGCGAAACCGCCCGGTAAAAAAGGAGGAAAGGGGCGCTGGCAGCCAGCTGGGCACGGACCCCCCCGGGGACATGCCGGCGAATTACCGGTGTTGCGGCCAAAGCATAATGGCGAAGCTAAAAAATAAAGTAAAGCTTAAATTGCACGAAAGCGCTTAAAACGCGGAAAACTTAAAGGACCGACCCCGGGTGCCCGAAAGGGCACAAAAGAAAGGAAGGTTAAAAAAGGAACAATCTTTGTTGGCGATAGCACCTTTGGTAAGAAATTTACGGAAGCTTAACAAAGGAAATACCGTATCCGGCCCGTAACCCGGTAACCACCCGCCTTTGCACCGATTAACCCCTAACAATCCGCAAATCGGAGTCCTTTAATTTTGCTTAAAGTTACCGCAAAAAATCGGCCTAAATAAATAATACCCCGGTATTTAAGTAATGCATTTATTTATATTTTATTTATTATGCCCGTTAACGATAATCGAAAGTGTATTAAAAGCACGGGCGAAACCGCCCGGCAAAAAACGGGGAGCGTTAAATGCACGGGCGAAACCGCCCGGCAAAAAAGGAAAAAGGGGGCGCTGGCAACCAACCGGGCACGGACCCCCCGGGGATATGCCGGCGAATTACCGGTATCGCGGCCAAAGCATAATGGCAAAATTAAAAAATAAAATAAAGTTTAAATTGCACGAAAGCGTTTGGAGCGCGGAAAATTTAAAAAACCAACCCCGGGTACCCAAAAAAGCACGAAAAAAGGAAAAGTTAAAAAAAAACAATTTTTGTTAACGATAGCACTTTTGGTAAAAAATTTACGGAAGCTTAATAAAAAAAATACCGTATCCGGCCCGTAACCCGGTAACCACCCGCTTTTGCACCGATTAACCTTTAATATATTATTCTTTTTTTTATACCTTTTTTATTTGGGAAATAAGCCCAGGTAATTACCGGAAAGGATTAAACAAATTTGAAAAGGGCATTTGCAATTTCGCACCGTTTATAATAACGCTTAACGTTACGTCGAGCACGTTGGAAAAAGCCGTTGGGCTACCGGAACAAAATACCAAAAAAACCCCGCAAATTCCCAACGATTTCGAAAACCTTTCCGTAAAAAAATTGCAAAAAATAAACGACGCGTTAAAGGCTTAAAGCAAACGCGCCCGTTTAATTTAAAAAATTTAAAACAAAGGGTCGAAGCATACGCATAAAGGCTTAAACGAAAATAAAAAAAATACTTTTAAACGACGGAAAGGTTTTACGTAAAGCAAAGTTACTTTTAAACCTTTTATGTTTAAAAAATCGGCAATTTGGCAAAATATCGCCCATTATATTAACGATTACAAATTTATTTTCGAAAGCGAAAAAGAACGTTACGGTAAGGACCGTATAAAGGTTTAAATAGCTTTTAACATTTTTAACCATTATTAGCGGGCATAATGGATAAAATATAAACAAATGCATTACTTAAATACCGGGGTATCGTTTATTTAAGCCAATTTTTTGCGGTAGCTTTAAGCAAGGTTAAAAAACCCCGATTTGCAAATATAGCTAGCGATTAAAAAGTTTGCGGGAAATATCGCTATTAAATAAAGGAATTACGAATCGTTTAAAGCGTTCCGGATTCGTTAGGATTTAATAAAGGATAATTTTTCCGAATTAGCACCCAAATAAATAAAAACGATATTGCTTTTTAACCGATTCCGCCCCGAAATCCAAAAACGGGTAATATTTAAAAGCTTTTTTTACACCATGGAAAAATTGCAAGCCAAAGCTTTTAAAGCAAAAATAATATTAAAACCGCATAAAAGGACCCCGGGGGATATAAGTATTTTAGCTTTTAAAAAGCCGGTTATTTGCTTTAAATGCGGGCAGTTAGGCCATATCGCTGCAGCATGCAAAATATGGACGGATAACCCGAAAACCCCGTTAGCTTTAGCGACCATACAAAAGGCAAAAGGGAAAAGGCCCGAAGTACGGTATTACGGGTATAAAGAACTGGGCTATATCCGGCCGGCGTGCCCCAAAAAAAGCAAAATATCGCTACTTAATTCGATACCGCTATTTGGCCGTTTAAGCACCGGGGCTTAAGGGTGCGCCTTAGCGGCCAAAACGCGTTAAAAAACCGAAATGTATTTACGGATTAACGGTTGCCGGGTAAAGTTAAAAGCGCTGGTTAATAATGGAAGCAACGTTAATTTATTGCATAACCGTTTTTTAATGGAAGCAAAAAAAATACCGGTGCTAAACGGGGGCCATTTGGCGTAGCTCGATACCAAAAAACGCATGCTTACGCTAAAGGTAAAGGAATACAAAATTCGGGTAACGAATAGCTAGGGAATAACCCGAAAATTAATAATGTTTTACGTAATGGTGCCCCGGGCCGGGTACAACATTACGTTAAGCATGTTTTGGTTTTAACAAAAAAATATTAGGATCCGGTTTGGGGATATAAGGTAAAGGTTTCCGGTAACCATTAAAAAGGTTAAAATAATTTCGTCGGAAATAGCTAAAAAATTAATCCAATCGGGACAAGCAATAGCCGTACTAACGGTTGCACGCCCGGAAACCCCGGAAAACCCCGGAAAAAGGCTAAAAGCTTTTTCGGAATGGGTTAAAAGGATAATTACAAAACATGCGCAGCTTTATAAATTAAACCCTTTGCTAAAATATATAAGCTGGAATTACGCGATCGAATTGGAAAAAAAAACGATGCCGCTTTACAAAAGCATTTATTTTTTATTTAAAAAGGAATTAAAAACTTTTCGGGGGTATTTCGATAAGGCTATAGCAAAAGGTTGGATCCGGCATTTAACCAGCCCCGCCGGCGCCGGAATTTTGTTCGTTTTAAAAAAGGACGGAAAGTTCCGCTTTTGTATCGATTATCGGGGTTTTAATAAGGTTACTAAAAAAAACCGGCTAGCATTTTCGCTAATTTACGAAATATTTAACCGGGTATTTAAAAACTAGTACTTTACCAAGCTAAATTTAAAAAACGCTTATTACAGGATACGAATTTAATAAAAAAACGAATAAAAAATTGCTTTCCGTTGCAAATATAAACATTATAAATACTTAATAATGCCTTTCGGTTTAGCCAACGCTTTAATAACGTTCCAAAGCTTTATTAATATAACGCTTGGGAAATTAATTAATAGCAATTGCATCGTATATTTGGATAATATCCTTATTTTTTCGAAAATATAAAAAAAGCACCGCGAAGCAATAAAAACGGTGCTAAAGCGATTTAAACGGTTTAAGCTTTACGTTAGCCCGGCTAAATGCAAATTCGAAACGGATAGTATCGATTTTTTAAGGTTTAAAATAACCAAATTCGGGGTTAAAATTTTACCGGACAAAGTTATTGCGATTTTAAAATAAAAAATACCGAAAAGCGTTAAAAATATTTAGGTATTCCTAAGCTTTACGGGGTATTATCGGAAATTCGTAAAAGGCTATGCGAAAATTATTGTGCTTTTAACGGATTTCTTTAGCAAAAATACCGTATTTTACTTGGGGAATGTTGCGAAAAAGGCTTTTTGCAAATTAAAATTATTATTTACGAAAGTTCCGGTATTAATGCATTTCGACCTTTTAAAGCCGTTGTACGTGCGGACCAACGCTTTGGCTTTTACGATAAAAGCGGTATTGCTGCAATTGCAAAACGGCCGGTAGCACCCGATAGCTTATATATCGAAAAAGTTGCAATAAAAAAAGCTGCGTTATGCAATCTTTAATTTAAAACTGCTAGCGATCGTAAAAGCTTTTAAAAAGTAGCGGTATTATTTAGCTTATTTACAAAAAATTGTTAGGGTAATTACCGACCATTTAAATTATACCCATATTTTAATAAAGGAAAAAGTAATAAAGCGCTAAGCAAAATGGTTCGAAGATTTAGCAAAGTACGATTTTACGATTAAATGGAAGCCAAAATACCGGAACCCCGCGAATGGTTTGTTAAAACGTTTTTAAAATATATTAATGGACGGGAAGGCCAATATGGTAAGGGAAGAATTCCGAAGCGATTTGCTAGCCAAATTCCGAAAAGCAGCTTACGTAAGGACGATTATTATTAAAAAGGATATTAAAACGATATTAAAGCGCATTTTTAAAATATAAGCAAAAAACGATTTCGTTTAAAGCGGCATTTAAAAAAACAAGCTTAACGTTTAAAAAATTAATAACGGTTTATTTAAGCATAAAAAAAAATTTAAATTCCAAATTTAGCACCGTTTAAACGGATAATGCTTTAAAAACAATACAATAACCCAACGGGGGGTTATAAAAGCATGGCTAAAATTTTAAAAAAGTTTAAACGGCAATTTAAATGGCCGGGTATGGCTAAAAACGTACGCAAATACGTACGGACGTATTAAATATGCCAGCAAACGAAACCGAAAATACAAGCACTTTACGGGTTGCTAGCATTTTTGCCCGTACCAAATCGCTCGGGACAAAAGTTATTAATGGATTTTATCGAAAAATTTTTAACGTTAATGGATAAAGCCGGCAAAAAACGCGACGCAATATTGGTAATGGTTGACCGGTTTACTAAATATAACTTTTTTATTTTAACGTTTACGAAATTAATTAATAAAAGATTGGGAAACCTTTTATTTGCATACGTTTAAGGGTTGTTAAAAACGCTCGAAAGGATTGTATCGAACCGGAATAAGCTATTTATAAACGGGTTTTAAATAACCTTTGCCGGATACTTAAAGGTTGCAAAAAAGCTATCGATAGCATACCACTTTTAAACCGACGGGCAAACGGAACGAACAAACCAAATAGTAAAGCATTACCTCCGGTGCTTTTATTGCGAAAAGCAAAACGATTAAGCGTTGTTATTGCACTTAGCAACGTAAATGCACAATACGAACGTGCATTTGGGGTTGCAAAAAACCCCGGCGTTTTTGCTAATAAGGTTTTATTTACGAAAACTTTATAACTTTTAAATAATTAAAAAAAAACCTTTGGTAACGGTTAAAATTAAGGCAAAGGTTTTAAAAGCAATTAGGAAGCAAACCAAAAAATTGCTAAAAAAAGCGAATAATATGTACAAAAAGTATTATAATAAAAGCAAAACCCCGGTGCTTTTCGGGGTAAACGATTAGGTATTGCTAAATACGGCGAATATTAAAATAAAAAGGCCGTTAAAAAAGTTATCGAATAAATGGTTAAAACCTTTCCAAATTTTAAAAATGGTTAGGTTAGCCGGTTTGGCGTTCCGGTTAAAGCTCCCGGTAAGTTACCGGATATACGACGTATTTCCGGCAAATTTGTTGCGGGCGTTTAAAAAAAGGCCCGGCGAAAAAACCAAAAAACAAAAAACCAAAAATCGAAAAAAAAAAGGATCGTTTTAAAGTAAAGGCTTTGTTAAAATACAAAAGGCCTTTACGGAAACGAAAATACTTGGTTAAATGGATAAGTTATAACAAATTGGAAAATTTGTAAATTTTAAAAAGAAATATTACGAAAAAAAATTGTTTAAGCGTATAAAGCAAATTTATTGGAAACGAATTTATAGGATAGGGAAAATACCGGACTTTAACGGGTAAATACCCGGAAGGAACGGGGGTATTACAGGAAAGGAATAACAAAAGCCAAAAAAATAAGCCCAAAGGAATGTTTTAACGTACCGAACCGGCTGGCCACCGAAAAGGAACGT